AGTAACGGTAATTGATACTTCAGCTAGCAATGGCCGGTTGGTTGCATTCATTCGTGTGATCAAAACGAGGTAATCGGTAATAAGCTGTGAATCCTTGGAATTTTCTACGGCATGCTCTGCATAGCAGATGTAGTTTAACAAGAATGTTGCATGATCGCTGCATCCTAAGAATTAGATATTGATAAGGTTTCTATCATAAGCTCGTTGTTGAGGATCAATAGATCCATGACACTCAGTTTGTTTCCCGTACTAAATCTTTTGCGGCATGTACCATGGTTGTATATTGCTACTCCCATGATTAGCTCCTGCAATTCCATTTCAAAGCTTTCACTGCAACATTCTGGGGTTGCTAGGGAAGGAATATTGAGGCTAACAACCAGGAGAACGTGACTGTGCGGGGACAGCGTTCTGCGTGGAGGCAAGCGTTTGTCTGTTTTAAAAGTGAATGACCGAGGGTCATGTACGACACTAATTAAACGGGTGTCAGCATGTCATAAGTGAAGAGGGCATCAAAGAGTGTCGACAGTTTGGATCTCTGGATTTTCGGTGAGATCAAGGTGCGGTTCACAGTGCTAACAGATTAGTAAATCACCTCCTCCGTTTGATCAATTGTTACGTATAATGGATATCCTAACCAACACGATTTCTGCATCAGTAATCATTTCACGTAGCCATATCACGGTTAGCATGCTTGGATCACAAGACAGTGAGGTCTACTGCAGCCAAACCTGTATCAGCTTTCTGAAATTGTCTTGAATGTTAGTATAAAAACAAAAGAGTAACAAAAAGGTTTTGGATATTTGGTGGAAGATGTAGACAGCAGTTTTGCGACTTAACCGGTACTCGTTGGATCGGCTGCTACTCAATTTTTACTGAGACACTAGATCTTGAGGTGAGTTGGGATACATTGCCGCACCAGACACTAAAAGCTCATAATGATCCATGACGTCATTTGCGTCCTATGTTGTCCCTCTTGATTAGTTGTTGCGCTGGATCCCCCAATGTGTGGTCTTGCTGCGTTTGCCACTTCAATTGAGTAATCGGCAGATTGTGGTCTTGTCTCTGCGGTTTAAAGTCTAATTTCTATTAGTAGCATGCTACGGAACCTAGCCATATTCGCTAGAATGGTTCGTACCGCCAGCTCGGACGGTAAAACCAACTTCAGAACATTGGACGACAACGTTAGTAATTCGGTGGCGGGGGAATTCTCGTCAACGTAGAAGCAAGAGCATTTTCTAGAGAGAGTGCCTCATGTAGGTCTCGTCATTACTCCCGGTCAAGTGCCTGGGCTTCTTCGTGAGATGGAGCTTCGGATTCATGGACAACGTGAACAATGTCGGGCTTCTTATCATTGTATATTTTCACGTCTGTCTTTGTTACTTATGTATTTTGGACGTTCCTTGCATGGGAAGTTTGATAGTATGCCCACTGCATTTGGTGCATTTTGGAGGTGATTTATAGACAGCAAATTTGCCTCCGCCTCATCAACGGAATTCAGCGTTATTCGAAGTGCAACCATATCCCGTGCTGCGCAATGCACTTCAGTTTAGTGATGCCAGTATTGACACCGATGGCATCAGAGATAGAATCCCATTGATTACGATCGTCTGTCAAGTACCTAATTTTGTAGTAGATGTGCATTTGGGAAAGTTAGTGCACTCAATACTTTAGATACCATGGTTGCGCTTAAGAGCTATCGGCTTTCTGTGAAGTGGAAGCTACTGGTGATATCAGATCATGCCGCGATACCTCAAATTTACCAAGTCCGGTAACTGAAGTCACTGGTGTCCTTCAGTTGCGTTTTCCTGGCAGCAATCGACACGTTTGATGTTCGGTTGTTTTTCACTGTGGACTGGCTGTAACCTTGGGTCTCAAGTGTGGCAACTGACTTATTCTTGGATTCACTCTTTGTAGAAGTAGAACCAGACAAGCTGTTAGCAATCTGTCTATTAAGAGGGTGAAAGGTGTTGAGAAAGCTGGATATCGAGCAGCTGACATGAGGTTGATACGCTTGTCTCCCTTCTTTGGCCTGAAGGAAAAGTTACCATGTATTTGCTGTGATGCAATGTGGCTTCGTTTAGTTCTACATATGTATCACTGGCGTTTACCACTTGCGGAACTGCTTCCCTCAGCTGTTCACTCTTATACAGTAAAGTGATTACACGGCTAGCAGAACAAAAAGGTATGCCTTTTGCTGTTGTACTACGTAGCTTCGAGTTGTCTCTTCTATATACATTTAGAGCGAAGTGCTTTAGAGCCGTTAAAGTACGTTAAGGTCATTTTGATGACTTTAACACACTAGCCAAATTTTCCCTTCGGGTGGGTCATGTTCATTGATGACGTTCACTTCTGTGGTTCTGTATGGGTTTTAAGGACAGTCAATCGCTCAATTTTCCAAAGCCCCCGACGGTGGCAGAATGAATCACTTGTCCAATGCATGCACGATCGCTCGACTGCACACGCTTTGTTGGTTGGCGGGCCGACAATTGTCCGCTTTGACTAAGCAGGGGTCTGGTTCTAACGCTAAATGCTAGCTATTTGCACAAACATAATACGGAGGCACAAAATCTCCTACAGTTGTCTTGAAGAGCACCATATTGAAATAAAATTGGGATCGTTGGAATACCTCAGACTTCTGTGTCGGATAATGTTGCACAACTAAGGACTAAGCACACAACCGATAAACTTGTGCAAGTAGATTCAGGCAAGAGAGCTGTTAAGACGGCTAGTGTTGCTGGAATCCTGAATCATGGAAGACGAATCTACGTATGATGATTCACTAAATAGTTTTAGTAAATCCGATTTGAATGAGCTCACGGTTATTACGCTGCGAAAAGGTGGACAGTAGAAAAACTCGTGATAATTGGAGCGCGTTAAGTACGCGTCTTCGGAACGACCAACTGAAGCACAAGGAAACGATGAGGGAAACCTGAAACCAAAGGCTGGATTAGTCCAGCTTTGTGCAATATGCTGCTATGACGAACTTATCTGCCTAGGAGAAATGTGTATCTGTGATAATGTCTGGAAAAATTTTGTTACTGTACTTAACTGACCAGCGTCCGCACACAATACGCTTAGTAATCAAGCAACTCTGTGTACACAGATATTGTGGTCAATAACCACCATGGGAGGTTCACGGAACCAGTTGCGTTGGACAACCTAATTGTGGGCAATGTTAGGCAACTCTCTGTATTATGTAGCCTGGCACTCTCCGCTCAGCCAAATAAGCATTCATAATACTGCCCTTTTAACAGTGTTATGCTGTAAAAAGAAGGCAGCATGCAGTTAGCTCTCAATGGCTGAATACTCAATTTAGTGATGACATTGCATACGACAGTACCCGCATGGGAAGAAATGCCACTTGTATAAACACTAGACTATTAAATGAAGTCAGTCACAATAATAATGTTTATTCGCTAAAAACGATTGCGGCTATCATAAGGATATTAACAGGGTTTACGAGAAGTTTACTTTGCTGAACGTCCGGAAGAAAAAGCTCAATGTTTGACTAAAGTAGGTCAATTTGCTTAGGCTCATGTAACAAAAAACGTGCCACTAATATGGTAAGTATTTTGAAATTAGGCAACAAACGGTAAACAGTGCTTCGTTACATCCGTGGGCTAAAGATACTATGAGTATACCGGTGCTCATGCAGGCTAGAACAGGTGACACGTGAGTTGCAAGTCTAATGCCTGAACCGATGGGTCATCGGCCAGCACATGCCATTGCCACCACTGAATTCCGTAAGCTACAGAATCATATCCGAATCTGAAAAAAGTGGTGGTATAGAACAGTAGAAATAGTTGGGAGCTCAATTACTTTTTAGCTATATTTTCGAACATCGCTTCTGAAAGAAGCGAACAGAAGGATTAAGTGTAGTCGAACTAGATGGGGAGAAATGAATGCAATCATACCTCACATTACCAATTGGTGTTGACTAGTCTGTTTTGCTGCAGGCTCCATGTTCAGCGGTGTAATAGCTAGAACGAGCAAGTATTGCCTGTTCTCGGAAAGTGCTTTTTCCATGCCCTTCGTATTAGCTGTATGGAACCCTATTTATAAAGGGTTGCTGAACAGGGCGTATTATTTTCTGTAACATTACCTGAAAACGACTAAGAGAGTCTCAGGAATTATTTACTACGATTCGTATGATAGACTGCTGTTCAGGACTTCTATAACATTATTACTTATTCACGAGGGTTTACAGAAACATGTTGCTGTCTCCTAGGCATTTGCCGTTATAGTTTTGTTAATACAAATATTCATTGTGACTGTTCGCTGTTGAGATCACAAGTTATCCAACACCGACTTCATTTCCATAAAAGGATAATTGATAACAACGAGGGCAAAGTTAGATTTATTCATTTTTGGATTACGCTTGATGAACCAAAAGATTCTCCGTCTTTATTAAGTGATCAACTGCAGTTTTTGTCCGTCTGACTTTAAGGTGGTCTGCTTGACTAACCTAGATTGCCTGTTTCTCTTAAGTAGAACAAGTTGTAAGAAAGTTAAGGATAAATATCTTTTGCAGAAGAGCTTGTATTCACATTTCGATTTGATAGCCATCTGTTTACCGTGGAAACTTTGTTACCGTTTGTTTTGTAAAGGACTGGTTAACATGTAGCTATTCTTGTACATGCGACATCCGTGTTCAGCCCCCTGATTTCTGTTAATTCGTGAGAAAAGCCCACCGTACTATACAAGGCCAAGAACGTTCACACCAACCACACTGTTGTCGCACTTATTTGTCGGAGATATTGAACCCAAACGCTAAATACCATGCAACTTGTTAACTTCATGTGTTATCCATACCTGAATAATTCATTCACCAAATACGTCGCTTATAAGCCAGCAAACTGGTAGTCCGATACATTTGGAATTCCTATTCTAGACTGCCTTAACTGGATGAAAGTTTGTACAAAAGTTATAGCTTCTGGTCGCCATTGAGAGCTCACATGTTGCCGAGTAACTCATCAGGAGAGGTATTTGTTTTCCTACAGGAACAGACAACACCGATGCCGAAACTGCTGTCATAAACCTTGGTGCAAATAACTTCACGGAATTCAGACAAATGAACTCCCCCTTCATGATGCTGTTCTCAGTGGACTGGTATGTTTCCGTATCCCGCGATTTCAACAGAATCGCTTGGTTATTAAGTATATTTTGTTACTAATATCTAGCTACTTGAAAATGTTAGTAGTTTAATATATACGTCCAAAGTTTTAGACATGCCATCCGAACCAGTATCGAAATTGACGAAAATGACGAAAAACGCGAAATACAATGGACAAATACGCAGTGTTGTTTTACCCACGCCATTTGAATCTTTCAATCATACGCCATATGTCACTTGCCATCAAGTAATGGAAAATACGGCGAAACAGAACTGGCGAAACCGATGTCTTTTGCGGGCCATAACCAAAAACCAGTTTCCGTGATCCCGCAAAAACAGAAAAATCGCTGAATTTATAAATTTGCGGAACAAGTAAGGTTTCACGGAATTACATGGAAAACTCCTAATTAAAGCTGGTTTCTCTTCACCTTGTTATAAATGATATAATAAACAGGTTTTAACTTCGCAGATGTTGTCTCAGAAAATGAAACAGCATTTAGAAGGAAAGTTTTCCCTGGACAGTGTGAAGGGGTTTCCTGAAGACTACTACTTCGATTACGCGGGAAAGGAAATTACTGTCTTTTGTGTAAGGTGATTGTGGATCCGTCTAGAAAATCACCTTTTGTTTGAATATCTTTGCAGTCAAAAGCATCAGAATGATGCTCACAAAGTGGAGCAAGTAGCTAACTGTGTTACCTCTTGTCAACCAGCTCGGAAGAAAGCTGCACAAGAAAGCATGGTTAGGTTCATATCATTGTAAATGCTGTCCAGGAGGTCCGTTATACAGTGGTATCTGACTTTCTAACTGCTATAGTATCTGTGAATATTCTTATAGCGAAGGCCGACAACCGCCAGTTGAGGGAATTTCCTCACCCACACGTAGGAAATGATGGACGCATTGCCGGGTCTAACGCGCTACGTCCGAAAATTCCTTAGCCGTACGACAAACACGAATGTATATTGAAAGTGACGTTACGTGCCATCTTTTTCAACGTCATAACAGACGAAAAACTAATGATCGTGGGAGGATGGAACTGCTCCCCATTTAATTCAGTAAGGACAGCCTGTGAGCATACCTCATCGACACGAGCAACTTGAGGAAACTAAGTTCTGTAGATGTTGGAAGTGCCATACTGCACAACCTGACAATGATGAGTATCGACTTCAGCCGTGTGACGTACTTTGTGTACTATAGTGCAAGGTATGACAGCCTGTTATCGGGATGTTATTAACCCTGGTTGTGAGGATGCAGTTCATATTAGATGTGCTGTCCATTGCACCAAGTTGATTAGAGAGAATTATCGCAAATTCCCTCTGGAACTTGACGTATTCGTCGCAAAAATGAAAATGGCTTTTTCTCTTTTGGATGGTGGAGAAGTGTTTATATTAGGTATCTAACTTAGGAAGGCGAGTATAGGCCAACCGGCCCACATGCACCGGACATCACCAGCTGGAACTCCTGACCGGAATTTGTCGCAAATCACAGCAAGTAGCTATCATTACTCAGTGATGCCGTAAGCCGTGCAACATGAGTTTCTAGACGCAGGTTGTGTTTGTGAACTTGTAGATCTTCTAATCATTGGAACAACACAGAAAGCTTTGAAGTAGTAACTCAGTTGCATTGCGACTGTTAGCAAAATATCATTCCTCTTATGAAAACTACCCAACCAAAATATCTGGTAACCAATAGGGTTTATAATGACCTATCTATCCATGTCGCCAAAAATTGCAGCCGAGGTAAGCTGGTTGCAGCATTTACAGGCAGATGCACTGAGCTTAGGTCCGTGTAGCAAAACCCAAACTGACATGCAACTCTATTAATCCCCACTGCCAAATACCCGAGAGTTGCTATCTGGTGGCTTTCGAAGGCCGTTAGAATGTTAGACAACAATCGACTCATCACCTTGTCCAGTGATCCATGAAGCTATGCTGACATTCTAGGCCTAGTTGGCTCCTAAGCTCGGACAGCCGAATGTCTAATCTACCGAAAAGTGGTGGAAGAACTGCATAAAGAAAAGGTAAAAATGGGTTATCTCTCCAGTTGGAGAGTACGAAACAACTTCACAACAGCAGGCACTGAAGCTTGATATCTACGCATTCCTGTGAATTCGGTAGACACTGAACGGGGCTTTAGTACCTATAAAAATCTTGTGCTTGACATTCGTCGCAACCTTTCAGACAACAGCACGAATCACCTTGTTGGGCTTTACTTTAATTCCTCTTTTTGAATCATAACCGATATGCATGTAATTAATGAAACTGCCTGAATTTCCGTTTACTTTGGTCTTCGGGAGAAAACACAGAACTCTTTGCTATCACTGCAAGAATTTCGCAGAAATTTTGCCTTTGATGGAGGAAAAAATGTTTCACCATCGCAGAAATCCAGCGCATTTTACCATAGCAGGTTGTAACCGCGGTAAGCAATGCGACCCCAAGTGTAGCATAAGTGCAAGAACGATACTGCACACCAGACTCTACTTTGTGCATCGCAATGCTTTCCCAGAAATGTGACAAACCGACAGGGGTTGTAGAGCGTGCTATGGCTGATGTAGCGATCCAGCATAGGAACCAGCTGTAACAGAATTCGACTCCCGTCGCTTAACCTAAACTCAACCTTGGAAAAGAGTAGCCAAAACAAGCGTATGGTTAACAACGTAAAGCCAGGTATCCCAGCAATGAGAGCTAGCAAAAAGGCGGGCAGGAAGTGTTTGCAAAGCATGACGACCCCAACCTTGCAGAGAGTGTCTTTTCATATGGATGTTCCTGTTACGCATGACACTCCATTGCACTTAGGTTTATCTAAAACTACCAATAACCTGACAGCGTCCGCTGTCGCTGTATGCCGACAAAAGGCAAACTTAGCGATAGCAATGGCATGAATACCAATGCGCCTCTAAGAAGCCTGCCTAACGCGCCGCCAGCGAAAGAAAGCATACTTATATACAAACCTGTGAACTGTGGAACGACGCAAAGCTTAATGAAGTTAATATGCTCCAAAGTGCCGGAGTCAAAGGCATACTCTGTCAGACAAACTATTGGACGATCTGAAACAACGGAACCTACATGCCAAGCAATCGGATTCCAGGTCGAATATACTAGTTTGGTCCTCACCCAGACTCAGTTCATTATGGTAAATTATGCCTACTTTAGGTTACACATCAGTCTGGTGACGAAGCAGCGATATTTCACTCGTTAGCTTACCGTCTTCGGGTATCATCATGTGATGTTGGTATATTCCGTGATATCCCTTGGGGTAAGCGTCGGCAAAGGAAGCAAAACCCAGGAGAGATTCGCGAGCAAAAGACGAAAGGTTAATCTTTGTTCACGGTATTCCCGAAATTCAGTCTTTAGACGATCCGCAAGCTTATGCTTATGACCTGGGGGAATGCGCTACATCCACAAAGCCCTCTATCTCCACGTAGTGACTGTCAAATCAACTATAAAGGAATTGGTCCAAGATTGCTGCAAATCCTGCTCTAGTCCAAACAAATTGTTGAAAGGGTGCTCGGAAGATAGCGTAAGCTACGCACAAAAACTGCCATCAGAAATACGTCTGAACGCAGTCGAACACAGGCCACCATTGGTTAAGGGAACACAAAAACAGCGAGAGATTTGGCCAGCCCAGCTTTCTGCGTTCCTGAAGCAGAAAGCACTGCAAATCCCCACCAGCCAGAAGAAGAAACAGCCGGAAAGCACAATTCGTCCATGAAGGATTAGATAACTGTTGCTCTGTGCAAAAGACCCAAGTTATCCCGGACGGTAGGCCAGAAATTCACCAAAAAACGATTGTCCGCGTAAAGTCTCAGCAAATAGGCCGAGATACAAGTTTGTTAACTAATAATGTCTTGAGACTTCCTCTTAACAATCGAGACATGTTTGAACTACGTGGTTACCGACGCCTAGGTCGTGTTACCTTTTGCCACTCTTGCGCAACGACCGACCAACTAACGGAGGCGGTGTGCTTCTTTACTGCCGTTACATTCTACACATCTGCTGCGTACATGACCCGCGGGTTTAAACCGCAGACTCCTGTTTGTGCCACCTATACCTAATGCAAGGGGATAAATGCCTAGCAGCAATTGTATACCACCCACAATTATCCATTTTGGAAATGGTCCAGGCTCTATTCTCAGGTGTGAAGAACCAATTGGTACGATCGTTCGGCCAACTTCTCACTGTGCGAGAACTCAACCTTCACCTTATAGAAACTCCGGCCACTTTTGGTGGGCACTCCAATGCGGAATTACAAGAGATAATCACTTATTCACCGCTGTACAGCCAAGTCAATTCTTCAACGTATTTTAGGACAGGAAACAAACTGTCAATCTTGGACCCAATTTTTACCAATATGGAACTCACGATCAACGTAGTAACAACGTGAACTCCACTTGACTGCAGTGATCACACGACACCGGTGTTCCACTACAACTGCAACTCAGAATATCTTTAAACCTTACCGAGGGACCTCACGTCGTAACCAACCATGATGAACTGTCCGACCTCATGGGTGCAACAATCTGGTCTTGCCTAGTCGTATGGTCTCCTAGTGCCCTGGGCGAATTTTTCAACAGATTCAGCAGACCAGTCATAAACAAAAGCCACCGATTGAAAAAGATAAAGCCATTTTTAAGGAGCAGGACTCGTGATTAAATACATTGTGTGTGATATAAGCATTGTAATGGTAACTGTTGGTATTCGCTTACGCATACGAAACGACCAGGCAAGTCCGCTCATGCTTGATTGTTCACCGCCAGTCGAGAAGTAACGCCTACACACGTGAGTGAAAATCGCGTTGTAAGCTCTCAGGACCAATTGGCTCTATCGATGAATGTGCCACGTTTCTGCCCGAGGTAGCCAAACAAGGAAGACCAAATCGGAATAGCTCAAAGCAGCGTAGATTGCACTATAAACAAAATGTTGCATTCTGATCAAAATTGCTTCTGATCGCAGCTCAGCCGTTGTCGTTGATACACGGCATATGCTACACGACATTGAG